GGCTGCTGCCGACATTTCCCCAGACCCCAGAGCACCCCATGGTTTGTTCTGCAGTCCATCCTGGATTCTCCAGAGGCCTCACAGGCGGAGCTCCAAGTCCTTCAGCTCCTTCTCCAGCACCCTCCTGCTTGCCAGCTTCTCCAGCTGCTCTTTGCTGGACTGGTTAACTTCCCCAGCCTCAGTCGGATGCTGCAGCTCTTCCATCTGCTGGAGCTTCTTCTTCAGGTTCTTTATCTTCTTGGCTTTCTCAGTGGTGGCAGATGAGTCAGGATGGTCAGAGGCAATTGTAGGGGCAGCCCGGGAGCCCTGCAGAGCAAGAGAGGTTGGGCAGGCTCTCCCAGTGACACCTTTTTAAGAGTCCGGCTCAAAGCCTCTGCCTCTCCTTTCTCTTGCTGCTGCCATCTCTTTTCTCTTCGCTTCAGGATGCATTTGGCTGTCTTGGAGAGGTCAGGTTCAACACCTTCAGGCCTGGATGAAGTGACAGGGGCAGTGGCTTCGGGGCCCCCTGGGGGCAATTCTGGTTTACTCTTGAAAAACTTTACATACTTGTTTTCATACACTGGGACCTCCTCCTGGGGTACATAGCTTTCTTGCACCCTTTGCTGTTTGCGCCAGATCCCGTCAGGTCGTTGGGTTGAGGCATGTACTTGCCGCTGGTCTCGTCAGTTACATAGGGAGTCGCCATCTTGGAAACGCAAACCACTTCCCGCATTTTATGACTTTGGACTAAAACATCGCTGATTTTCTTCTAGGCTTTGTTTTCTGGTTTTAAGGACTTTTGTCCAGTCTTGAGCTGACAATAGGTTCATGTACCTAATATTACCACTTCCGGCGTGAACGGGCTGGGGTCCCGCCCCCTCCCCACCGGAAGTGGAGTTCTGAACGTCGCAAGCTACCATTTTAGCCTTAAAGGGAGAGTGCACCATTTCGTGGGCGGAGGTGGGGAAGAAGGGGAATAGAAGCTTAAGTACTAAACAAAAATAAAGCCTTGGACTCTTTTATTGCCACCGAAACCAGTACCAGAGTGCCTTTTGCGTGTAGAACAGGCCTCTGGGCGCCAAAAGACGTTCTGAAGCACAGTCCCTCATCCCACTAATACGTCCGGGCCGGGCCCTGCGAGGGTAAAGGGCGCAAGACCCACCTGCAGCTGGAAGCGGGCTGTGATAAATGAAAAAAGGAAGAATATTCAGGTCCAGGCCTGCATGCAGGTTCCAGAGCGACTTGGTGACATGGGGTAGGCAAACTACAGGAACGCACTGGGCCAAACGAATGTTGCAGGCGGTAAGTGGAAGACCCCCCAGCTAACCCTCTCTTAAAAGGTAGCGAGGTCAAGGTCCCGTGCCTATTGCTCTCGGCCTCCTAGTTCAACTCTCCGGATTGAGACTCGCAACAGGGGCGTGTGAAGAGGGGCACTGCGAGTCTGTCACCTGTCCCCGCTGCCTCAGGATTGCTGGCGACTTCCATGGCCGAGGAGGCTGTGGGCGAGTTGGGCAGCCCCGGGGGATTCGGCGAAATGGCGAAGGCCCACGTCACTTCTGGCCTTGGCCTCCTACCCAGGGAGCCTCCTTTGGCTGAGCTCCAGGGTCAAGAGGGCAGGGTGACTGCTTCGGGGCAGACCCAGTTAGTATTCTAGTTGACCTCGTCCAAGTCTGGGGGCGCTAGAAAACGAGGCAAGTCGCCAATGACTCGGCTCTCGCAGAGTCACTCCCTTTACAGTCCTGCCCTGCCCGGTGCCTCCCAATTCTTCAGACGAATCCAAATGTTCTCCCTCCCCCTCTCCTGTTTGCAGCTTTGTTCCTTGGGGCTAAATCCTGCTAAACTTGTTTCCCCTACAGCCTGGGAGGGGCCAGCTGCTGGTTCCTCTCCTCAGGTGTGTCGACTCTGCCCTTCTCCACCTCTGCATTGCTTTTAGCTTTCAACCCTTTTACACTTCCTCCAGATCTCCCGCTTTGACTTAGGCTAATCTTCAGTGTAGCCCTGGAACCGGGGAGGAGGTGGCGACTACTTCCATATTAGGTAGCAATCCCCATTTAAAAAACACCACCGAAAACTGAGCAATGGCTAACTAGAACTTTTACAAGACAAAGTAAGCCTGAGAACTTTTCTTAGGCCCACAGTCTACCTGCCTTTCCATTCTCTATCTCCTTGACTGCCACCAGGTGTCCAACTGAAAAGATCTCCAAGACTCATTTAAAACTCTATGCAATGCACAGTTATTTCAAGTTACAACACTACCATCTTTTTTTTAAATTATTTTTTATTTAATTTTATTTTTCAGTCATTTATTTTAATTTGACCATATATATACAGAGAGACAGAGAGACAGAGAGAGAGAGAGAGAGAAATGAGAGAGTAATGTCAAAGGACCAGGACTTGAACCGTGGTTGTGGGAGTGTCCAGCACCTTAACCACCATGTCACCTGCTGGTCCCCCAACACTACCATCTTCAAGGCCTGTTCTTTCATCAGTTGTGCTTCAACCATATACTTCTATTATAGCATCCTGTCCTCAGCCCTGTACTAATGATTAGATGTAAGAGTGTGGGATAAACCTTCTAAAAATGAACGGGATGCATTGGTCTTAACTGGACTTTCTGAGAAGTGGTCTCTGCAGCTTCCAGATGAGCTGCTCAATGGACCTTTCTGCAGGGGGAATCCAAAAGTGGCCCCTGTTCACTACTTAGATACCCCTCCACCCAAACATCCTGCCTCAGCTCTGGGGTTGACAGGAAGTGAAACTCAATTGTCTACTTAGTGGAACAGCCTGGGACCTAGCCCTGGGTCCCGGATGTGGCCCCCCACCCTGAGGAGGAAGAGGGGAAAGAAGAGACTGGGGAGAACAGGCTGTTGTTTTTTCCTTTCCCTTTGTTCTCTGTGGTTTTTTTTTCTTTCTGATTTTTTTGATGTGGTTGATTAAAGAAATGAGCACCTGGAACAGTAGGCATTAGACGCCTCCTCCTTAGATGTATCTTGGCCTTTTCCCCCCACCCCCACCAATAACTGACTTGGGGTATGATGAAGCACAGATCCTAAAAAAGACACGAAGAAACAGGAGTAAAACTCATTTTGCCTTATTGTTTATTCGAGAACCTCACACCCCACTTCAAAGTCCTAAAATATGTCTTTTTTTTTTTTGCTATAGGATTCATGTGTTCATTGGAGACAAATGGGTGTGGGGATACCCTGAGATCCATCAGGGGTATGGCCATACCACAGTTCCATCGCCTCTATTCTTCCACGATTTTAGGGACACACACATACACCAGTGTCTTTCTCAAGCCAACCAGGTCCAGTACTCGAACAGTACAGTCAGTGGGATCCAACCACATTGGACTTCCATGCCATCTGCCGGCCCAAAAAATATATCTTTTTTTAAAAGAATTATTTTTTTGTTTAATTTTATTCATTGTCATTATTTTCTTTTGTTTTATTTATTTTTATTTTTATTTCTTTGAAGTTAACCAGAGAGAGAAGGAAAGTGAGAAAGCAATCTGTCAGGTCCTGGACTTGAACCGCAATCAACCATGTGGGAGTCCAGCCGCCTTAACCACCACCCCACCTGCTGGCCCCCAAAAATATATCTTAAAAGGAGTGTCTTTGGGACCAGCAGTTGGCATAATGGCTATGTCACTGGCCTCCCATGTGGTCGACAGCAGTTTGAGTCCTGGACCCGGTGGCTTAAAACCCACGCCGGGCGCGTGTGCGTGCGTGCCCAAGATCCTGAGAGGAGAATGGAGGAGAAGGGATTACGGCATGGCCATCCCCCCTGGGGGGTGATTTCTCGCTTTCTGTCTCTCTGTCTCTGTCTTTCTGCTGAGCATATGAGCGTATGTGCCCATGCCCTATAACAAAAACTTCTCCAAAAAAAAAGTTATTTGTAAGGAAAAGCTGAGTGCCTTAAAGATTAATATCATTTCAGGATTTCTAGATAAAGTTTCCAGGGACAGAAAACTGATTGCAAGAGAGATTAGGGGACCTATTCTTTTTTAAATTTAATTTAATTATTATTTTTATTCTTTAATTTGACCAAAGAGAGAGAGAAAAAGTGAGAAAGCAAGCAGCCCAGTCTGAGACTTGAATCACAGTGAGCCATATGGGAGTCTAGTGCCTTAACTACCATGCCACCTGCTGGCCCTAGGGGACCTATTCTAATTTACAATGTATGTTTGCTTAGAGCCGCTCAGAACAGGGAGGATTTACATTTACAGGCCATTCTCTGGTGTATTCCTAAACAGGGCTTGTCTATGCCAGGCAAGGTTCCTACAGGATAGTACAAGTAAGGCCTTCAAGAATGTTTGTTGACTGTGACTAAGAGGTTATATAGGAGGGGTCAGTGATGGCATGGTGGTTAAGGTGCTGGGCTCCCAATGTTCCATGGCGGTTCAAATCCCAGTGCTGGCAGCTTGATTTCTTACTTTTTTTTTTTTTTTCTCTCTCTCTGGTGAGCACACATGCCCTATAGCAAGTTTTAAAATAATAATAATAAGAAGAAATTAAATAAATGGTTATTATAAAATTTTTTTCTAAAAAAAAATCCTGTAGGGATGGAAAATGAAGCTTTGCTACGAAGGAAATACTAAGGATGAAGAAAAGAGTGGCAGGGTCCTCGTCTTTTTAAGATCGAAGATGAGAAAGGCTAGACCTGGAGGGGACACAGGAACAGAGGGACAGACCCTCTCCAACTCCTGTCCCAGATCTCCAGTTTAGATACAATTCTCCCAAGCCCTATTATTAAGCAGCTACATATACTTCTAGTAAAAGTAGAGGAGTCTCTTTCAACAAGTATGTCTTCAATCAAGAGCTACTTAAATCCCTCTGTTTCCACTAGGGGGCCTCATGTATTCATTCCTTTTTCTCTACAACACCAACAAAGATAAGCATATATATTGTGTTATTGTGTTGTGCTGTTGTGTGTTCACAGCACACATGCACACACTCACACACACATACACATACACACTTTCAGTCAGAGGTCTCCCTTCCCCCTCCTTCTTACCCCCAGGTGTAAGAAGAACATTCCAAGAACTCAAGGCTTTGTTAGTTTGCTCTACTTCAATGAAGGGTAGGAAGGAGTTAGATGAGGTTGGGGCGGGGCCAGGGAGCAGGATGCCTGGGTCCCCAGTTCCTGCCAGTTAAGTCCCTAGGCCTCTAGGTCTCACTCCCTTGCTCTACCAGCCTCGCCATCATCCATGCTGCCCCAAGAACCTTGAGGACTCCAGAACAGACCTCTGGCACTTTTGGCCAGGGCCTTCTGCACCACCTGCCAAGGTCAGTGGGTAATATGGGAGGGTTGGGGCCAGGAGGAAGATTGGGCACAGGCCAGAGTGTTCTTTGCACCCGTACCTCCGCCCGCCCTAGAATGGAGGAGAGGATATGCGTCTTGGAAAAAGGGATTGTCCTCGGACTGGAGGACATAGGTCTGAAAGGGAGGGGCGGAACCTGGAGGAGAAGGCGGCCACGTTGTCCCGGTGTCAACCCTACTGGAGCCCAAGGTGGGAAGGAGATATCTGGGTCTGAGGATGTGGAGCTGAAACTCTGGCTTGGCTCTGGGGTCTCCTGAGTGTGAAGTCGGTGGTGGGTGGAGGGCGTGGGGAGTTGAGCGGGAAAGTCCAGTCCAGCATGGCAGCAGTTAGGAGAGCTCGATGGGTGGGTACTTCCCGCTGCCCAGCTGTCCGGTTGGGCATCACACCCTCTGTTGGCCTTCCAGGTTTCGGATGAGGGGAGAGTCCGTGAGTGATGAGAAAGGAAAATAGAAGCAGAGCTGTCTCAGGAGCGGGAAGAATCTAAAGATGAGCGCAGGAAGTGGGGAAAGTGGCACAGAGCGGATCCCTGGAGCTATCTGGGGTACGGGGTGGAGAGCAGGTTATGGTAAACCGAAAACCTGCTAACAAAGGCCTCTCCGGCCTCGAAGTTTCCGGAGTTGGGGGCGCCGGGAGCGGGCGCAGGCGGGCAGGCTGGGGTGGGGGGCGGGCAGCTGTGTCGTCAGGAGCGGGGCGGCCCCGCGGCAGCGCGTCTGCCTGGCCCGTCCCCTCCAGCCCAGCTCGGGCTCCAGCTCCAGCTCCGGCGCTTCAGCTCCGACCACGCACCCTCCCTGACAAGGTAGAGACCCCAAGAGCCTCCTCACCACCTCCCACCCTTCCCCATCCCAGCAGGAGGGGGGACCAAGGGAGGGGATGCCCCACAGAAGGGGCTGGGTTAGGGCTGCCGGGTGGGGAAGGAGGAAGCGTGACAGCTGGAGCGGGTAACTAGAAGGGTCTGGGCTGGGACGCTGCGGGCAGCAGGAGGGCTGGGCCAGAACCCCTTGGCAGTGTTCCCCCCTCCCCCAAATCCCCTCCACCCCTCGCTCTCAGTCGGAGGGATGGCCAAGCTGGGCTCTGAGGAGCCCTATGCGAAGCAAAGTCCCTTTTGGAACCTCCACAGCGCCGCACGGGGCGAGAAGCGTTCTTGTTTGGCCTCCCGATTCCCAACTTCCCACCCCCCCATCCTTCTACACCTGTCACTGGGAAGTTTCTGAAAACACCTGAGTCCGAAGCCCACTTTCACCTTTAAATAGGACAAATGAGCTTTATCGAAAAAGAAATGCAAATATTATTGGGCATCTCTTCAGCTTCAGAACATACAAGCTCACATCCCCCAACCATGCCAACATCGTAACTTCCTCCTGTACTACGCAATGACACCTTGCACACACACACACACACACACACACACACACACACACACACACCACCCTCTTACTGAAACATTACTACAATCTACAATGTGGAGGCGAATGAATTTTGAGTCTTCAAGCCAAATGATTTTCTCTTGGGGGCCACCAACTACTAGCAGAGGTGAGGGAAGCATAGACCCCCCCAGGAGGGAGGATGTGGTTAAGGTATTCAAAAGTCCAGGTAATGAGATCTGGGCCCTGAAACTAGGAATGCCTGCCCTTTGGGGATGCTTGCTGAGGGCACCTTGAGTGTCTTGGGTGCATTAGCTAATTCTAGAGTAATGGTCAACATGGGACTTGAAATATGAGCGATGAATGCTGAAATGAAAAAAGGAGAATTTAAGTGCTAGCACTGGCTTTGGAAATAATATGTATTTCTTAGTTACCAGCAATTTCAGTATGTGATGTTTAAAATCTGATAACAAGAGGCTCAAAATTTAGAGGAGTGGACTGAGGATAGGGTGGCTAGAATCTGGATGTGACCTTGAAATAACCATTCTCTCTTTAGGCTGCAGCTGCTTCTTCTGTAAAATATGAGGGGTGGTGACTCCTAAGCCTGGGATGTTCTAGGATCCTCTGCCTCCAAGTCAACATCTTTCTTTCTCACCCCATCTTGGTAGGGGAGGCAGGGAAACAGAAGAGGGAAGGGAAGGGAAGGGTGAGTCACAAATAACTGGCGGGCAGGCAGTAGACCCCACCCTCCCAGCCTGGCATTTGCCTGGACTAGCCCAGGTTATAGCCTCAGGGTTGGGATGGAGCTGGAGGACACAACTGGACTTGTTCTCGTTCTTTAAAGCCCCAGCATCCCAGTTTGCAGCCCCTCAGGTCCGGGGGCAGCCAAACTTTCAGTGAGATAAGTCAGAAGGAGAACTGAAAAGAGCTCAGTAACTCTTTATTTGTTTAAATAATTATTTATTCAATTCCATTTGTTATTATTTTATTATTTTTGTATTTAACCAGAGAGAGAAAGAAGGGTAACAAGGTTAAAACAAGCTGCCAGGTCTGGGACTCGAGCTATGGTCTGCCATGTGGGAATCCAGCACCTTTAACCACCATGCCACCTGCTGGCTCTGTGCTAATTAACTCTTATATCCAAAGTCCCAGCCCAGTGATGTTCTTGAGCCCTGATGGTCTAGTTTTTAGCCACGTCATCATGGCCCTATCACTCATTTAAAAAAAAAAGTTTATATGAATGTCCAGTCAAAACCATCAAGAGCATCTCCCTTGAAATGTTAACTTCTCTGGCTTTCCAAGTAGACCACAGGACTGCACACTGACTTGTAATGTCCTCAGAAGGCTCTGTCGGTGATCAGGTAACAGTAAAAACCCTAGAATTCTTTCCTTCAAATGGAAGAGGGAAGACAGAGGGACAGAGAAACTATTCAAACATCGTCTTCTTTCCTTGTGGCTTATGGTCTCTTCCTCCTCCCCTGCCTCCTTGGAAACCCCTTCATCCACTAAAGCCTCCTTGGTCTCACCCACCCAATCCACCTCTGCCTCCTCTGCCTCCACCTCATCCTCCAAAGCCTCCTCTGCCTCCACCACCTGATTTCCTTCCCTAGATGCTTCCCTTCCCCCACGCTTTCTCTACACTGTCTCCAGTGTCCATAACAATTTTCATTGCTTTTATGTCCTCCAATCTTTTAATCTCCAACGTAGAGTGCAGATAATAAGTATATGTTAAGTGGAGACATACAATCTCTCTATATAATTATTCTAACTTCTAATACATTTCAGTAGTAGGATTTTATTTATCATTGTAAGATACTACAAATCTTTCCAATCAAAAGGCCGAGGGAGGTACCAGCAGATGGTGTAGCGGTTACATGGCTGCATTCCCACATGGCTGACCACTATTCGAGTCCCAGACCTGGCAGCTTCAAACTCATGCTGGGCCTGTGCACATGCGTGCCCAAGATCCCAAGAGGAGAATGGAGGAGAAGGATTGCGACATGGTCATTTTCCTCTGGAGGGTGATTTCTTGCTTTCTGTCACTCTGGCAAATGCACATACCCTATAGCAAAAATCTCTCTTTAAAACAAAACAAAACCACACACCAGGTGCATGTGCATGTATGCCCAAAATCCTGAGAGGAGAAAGGAAGAGAAGGGATTGTGGAATGGTCATCCTCTTTGGGGAGTGCTTTCTCACTTTCCTTCATTTTCTCTCTCTCTGTCTCTCTTTGGTGAGTACACACTATAGTAAATTAAAAAATAAAAAAATTAGTCTAAAAAACAAAACAACTTTTAGGAAGGAATCGTTGCTGGACTCCCATGCAGTCATCTGTGGTTCAAGTCCTGGACCTGGTGGCTTAAAACACATGCCAGGCAAGTGTGCATGCATGCCCAAAATCCCATGAGGAGAATGGAGAAGAAGGGATTTCAGTGTGGCCATCATCCCTGGGGGGGTGATTTCTCACTTTTTTCTGTCTGTCTGTCTCTCTCTGGTGAGCTCACACACCCTATAGCAAAAACCTCAAAAAAAATTTAGTGTAAAAAATGTGCAAGGCCAAAGCAGTCTCCACATATTTCACATCTTCATCCAGCTTTGAAACACTTTTCCTAGAGACTCCCATTTCAGTGTCTTTTCCATGTTGATTGTCAAAATGAAGTTTCTCCCTGTTCTAGAATTATTTATGGACAGTAAAAGGTTATTATTTAAAACTTTAGGTTTCCTTCTCAGTAATTCCACTATCTGATATTAATAATTAACCTGAGAACTAATTTAACCAAATTCTTCAAGCTGACTTCACAAAAAGGAGGGTGGTTTTCAGTAAGTCTATGTCAAGAATCTAATGCCATGGACATTATAAGCATAATCTGTATTTTTTTCTACTTGGGAAGATGTTGGGGACAGAAGCAAACGTAAGTGAAGGATGCCATTTTCATCTGAAATGTATCTTTACAGAAAGAAAAATGTAATCAATGTCACATGAAGTTAACTTTGTACTTCTGAGAACTCCAAGTAAATTTTCTCCTTTCTCTATTGTCCAGTTGTTTTCTGATACAAGTATTTTGTAAGCTTTGCATGGCTTATATTTTAATACCCTGTGTTTTGCTTAGGCTGTTACCCTTGCCTTCAGTGTAACTTCCTGATTACTATTTTGTTTGAAAACAGATTCTTCAAAAGGCAGAAGTGTTACTCCTTTTTGCATATCTTGTAGGGAACTCAGTCATTGACTGCACTGATCAGAATTACTTCCATCTGCCTCCTTAAACTTCATCCTTAGGATGCTTTCAGAAAACTATCTGACTTCATTAATAACAAAATTTTGAGAAGTAAAAATATATATTGTTAAATTTAAGAAATATTAATCTTTATTGACTATCTTAAGTGAACAATATTTTTAAGTTAACATTATTAATAGATTGACTTTATGATTTTACATATCTCAACAGATATATTGTCACAGCACCTAAAGTGTTCTATGTTGGAGCCTCTGAAAATGTGGTAATTCAAGTCTATGGATGCACAGAATCATTTTCTGTAACCATTGCTGTTAAAAGTTATCCCGACAAGACTTCTGTATATTATCTTGGCCAAGTTATTTTATCTCCAGAGAATAAATTCCAAAACTCTGCAAAGTTAACTGTAGGTATTTTTAAAATATTTTCTTTCACATATCAAATGTTTCTTTGTAAAATATGCCATAGGTGTCACATTGATTCATTTTACATATGTGGATAAAAATGTGATGTATCTTAGTATTAAATGACTTCACTAGTCAATGTGAGGTTAGGTATCATACATTTATATCTATAAATAATGGAAAATGTTAAATGGAGAATCTATTTCTGATTTGAGGGTCAATGTAAAAAAGTCTGAATGAAGGGACCAGCAGGTGGTATAGTGGTTTCGGCACTAGACTCCCAAATGGCCAATCATGGTTCCAGTCTTAGATGCAGTGACTTGGATATCTCTCCAGGTGAGTGTACATGTGTGCCCAAATCCCAGGAGTAGAACGAAAGAGAAGGGACTACAGCATGGCCATACTCTCTGAGGATTGATTTCTCACTCTCTCTGTCTTTGTTTTTCCCCTGTGAGTGCACATGCCCTATGGCAAAAACCATACACACACACACACACACACACACACACCACCCTCTTACTGAAACATTACTACAATCTACAATGTGGAGGCTAATGAATTTTGAGTCTTCAAGCCAAATGATTTTCTCTTGGGGGCCACCAACTACTAGCAGAGGTGAGGGAAGCATAGACCCCCCCAGGAGGGAGGATGTGGTTAAGGTATTCAAAAGTCCAGGTAATGAGATCTGGGCCCTGAAACTAGGAATGCCTGCCCTTTGGGGATGCTTGCTGAGGGCACCTTGAGTGTCTTGGGTGCATTAGCTAATTCTAGAGTAATGGTCAACATGGGACTTGAAATATGAGCGATGAATGCTGAAATGAAAAAAGGAGAATTTAAGTGCTAGCACTGGCTTTGGAAATAATATGTATTTCTTAGTTACCAGCAATTTCAGTATGTGATGTTTAAAATCTGATAACAAGAGGCTCAAAATTTAGAGGAGTGGACTGAGGATAGGGTGGCTAGAATCTGGATGTGACCTTGAAATAACCATTCTCTCTTTAGGCTGCAGCTGCTTCTTCTGTAAAATATGAGGGGTGGTGACTCCTAAGCCTGGGATGTTCTAGGATCCTCTGCCTCCAAGTCAACATCTTTCTTTCTCACCCCATCTTGGTAGGGGAGGCAGGGAAACAGAAGAGGGAAGGGAAGGGAAGGGTGAGTCACAAATAACTGGCGGGCAGGCAGTAGACCCCACCCTCCCAGCCTGGCATTTGCCTGGACTAGCCCAGGTTATAGCCTCAGGGTTGGGATGGAGCTGGAGGACACAACTGGACTTGTTCTCGTTCTTTAAAGCCCCAGCATCCCAGTTTGCAGCCCCTCAGGTCCGGGGGCAGCCAAACTTTCAGTGAGATAAGTCAGAAGGAGAACTGAAAAGAGCTCAGTAACTCTTTATTTGTTTAAATAATTATTTATTCAATTCCATTTGTTATTATTTTATTATTTTTGTATTTAACCAGAGAGAGAAAGAAGGGTAACAAGGTTAAAACAAGCTGCCAGGTCTGGGACTCGAGCTATGGTCTGCCATGTGGGAATCCAGCACCTTTAACCACCATGCCACCTGCTGGCTCTGTGCTAATTAACTCTTATATCCAAAGTCCCAGCCCAGGGATGTCCTTGAGCCCTGATGGTCTAGTTTCTAGCCACGTCATCATCCTCCCAAAGACAAAGTACAAGATCCTGATACTACATGTCTGCACCTGAGATATATAACAAAGAAGGGGTGTAAAACTGGCCTTTGCTGCTGCTGGGAGGCCCTAAATGTATGCCTTACTGGCTCGAAGGCATCATTTTTCCTAACATCCAGATGTGTCTCTCTAGGTACCACCATCGTTGAATGATAATGGCGATACCTAATGTTTACTAAGTTCTTCATGCCATGCAGTTTGCTAAATACATTGCAGATATTTTCTATTAATCCTCACATTGTGACTGACTTCTCTAGGTACCCATTTTACTGATGAGAAAACTGAGGTTCAAAGAGATGTAATGACTCATCCGAGAGCTAGGATTCTAATCTTTGCCTGCCTAATTCAAAAGTACGTTTTCTTAACCTTTTCTACATACTACTTCTACAGGTTAAAGGCCTGGGAAGCTGGGTAGGGGCAAGAAAGACTTGAGTCATTGTATCATCCCTCTCCTTTGTATCATCCCTTGTTGGTTTTCTCCATCATTTTCTCCTTTAGATTTCATTTCCTAGAACTTTGGAGTCATCGAAGAATTCCCGAGGGTAATCAGAGAGGCTAATTAAGCCATACAGGCCCCATTAGCCATAAGACTATTATATATGCATTAGCTCTGTTGGCAGCAGCAGTTGGATTATAATCACTGAAAAAGGCTAGGTGGGCGGAGTCCTTTCTCCAGGATGTCAGCGTCCCATGGTCCCCTTCTTTCTTTTTAACTTTTGTCTTTTTATGTTTTTTTTTATTTATGTATTTTTAGGTTTGCTAGAGGGTACATACATTCTCCAGAGAGAAAGAGACAGAGAGAGAGAAAGGAAAGTGAGAAATTACTTCCCAGTGGGGATGGCCATGCCACAATCTGTTCTCTTCCATTCTCCTCTTGGGACTTTGGGCACGCACACACATACATAGCATGTATTTCTTTTTTTTGGAGAGGTTTTTGCTATAGGGCGCGTATGCTCGCCAGACAGACAGAGAGAGACAGAGAGATAGAAAATGAGAAATCACCCCCAGGGGGGATGGCCATGCCGCAATCCCTTCTCCTCCATTCTCCTCTTGGGATCTTGGGCACGCACAGACACACACGCGCCCAGCGTGAGTTTTAAGCCACCAGGTCCGGGACGCGAACCGTGGTCGACTACGTGGGAGTCCAGTGACATAGGCATTACACTAACTGCTGGTCCCACATAGCATGTTTTTTAAGCCACTGGGTCAGGGACTCGAACTGCACAGTCAGCCATGTGGGATCCAGCCACCTTAACCACTAAGACACCTACTATCCCCTGTAGTCCCCTCCTTGAGAGCCCCTGGAACAGGAATGTTGTGTTGCGTACAGGTGGGTGACAGAGATGTGCAAGAGCAGAGGCTGCAAAGTAGGTTCTTGCCCCACGGAAAAGGAAAGGGGCCAGGCTACTACCATAGGCCCCTAACTGCATACCTGAGCCTGACCAAACAAGCTCTGAATGAGCAGGTGGAGGGCAAAGTGTTTAATGGAGTACCTTAATAAATGTTTTTTTGTTTTTTAGCATCATTCATTAATTTAACAAATATTTTACTTAGCACCTATTATATGAGTCCAAATTATTTCAAATCCCTCTGACCATCAGCTAGACACTCTGGCATCCATTTAACCATATTTGGATGAATAGTCTCAAAATATGACTTCTGGCTTTACACAACCATTTGTTCAACCTAGTAGCACCTACTAGGTTATGCTGAATGCTGTTTTTGGTTCTGGGGTTCAGCAATGAACAAGACTGGCAAACATGTTGGCGAACCTTTCCTTTCAGAGGAAAACAAACTTTAAACAAAGAAGCAACTACCCAGGGAAGATCACTTCTCCGTGTTATCTGTTCTGTGAGGGAGACAGAGGAAGGCTACTATGCAGAGGAGGGGTGCTACTTCAGGATGGAATGATCAGGAAAGGTCTCCTAGAGGAGCTGACATTTCAGTGGAGGCAAGGAGCTGGCCCTGGCAAGGATGAGGAAGGTTGCCCCAGGCAGACGGAACAGCAAGTCTCTGGTCCCTGAACAGGGAAACTTGGTATGCATGAGGAACAGAAAAGAGGGCAGTGAGACTTGAAGGCAGTGTGTAAAGGGAAGAGTGGAGCCAGAGGACAGAGTGACAGACAGTGGCCCTACCACATGCCCTGGGACTGGCACCATTATTGGTATCTTGTTGTACCAATCATCTCCTATTCCACAGGATTGGGTTTCAGCAGTGAATACAATAATAACTAATGCTTCTTGTAGCCCTTCTATATGCCGGACATTGTCCTAAGCACTTTCCATGTATCCTTTTACTTTACAACTGTGAAATATAGGTATCGTTCTCCCCATTTTACACATATAGCTTGCCCAAATCACACCATAGTCTTAGTGCCAAGACTGGTAACCGAACCCAGCTATGACTGACCTTAGTTCTGTTTGATTTCAAATTCGTGCTACACTGTGTATTACCACTGCTATTGCTGCTGAGCAAATCAAAGGAGGTCGTCTTCTGCTACTCAGTCCTAGGGCAGAAAATTAGGGTTCCCTAAACACCAGTAGCCTAGCAGGCCAGGATGACCCTATTATCAGCACCCAAGACGCCAGTACTCAGCACCACCAACCCGCCGCAGAAACAGAGGGGTGTCCAGAGCCTTCATCCCCTACGTCCTCCCAGCCCTGTGTGCAGGTCCCGCCCTTCCCCAGTGGAGCTCCGCCGAACGCTGGCGAGGCGGGGCCCAGGCCAGGGGCCCGGCCAGAGCATGTTCTGTGTCTCGCGTCAGAAGCGCTAGAGGTCGTTGCGGGGCGTGGGTGGCTCTGGGAGTGGGTGGCTGAGCCCGCCTGGGGCCTGGGGCCTGGGGCCTCGGGCGGGCCGGAGGCGGAGCAAAATGGGGTTGTGTCCCCGGGGCAGTGCTGGCGCAGTAAGAACCATCCGGAGGGCTGGGACTGTAGGGACCTGGGATGGGAGAGAGCTGTATGGCGAGAGGCTGCAGAGACTAGAGGTGGCGGAAGAAAACGCAGACACAGGCGAAGGGCACACTCCCAGAAACAAAGCGACTGGGGAAGTGGAGGCGGGAGTTGGGGGCGAGGGTGGTCAGATGAGTCAAGACAGCTTGGGGGAGAAGTTTCTGAGATGAGGAGAGGAATCCTGAAAGGAGGAGAGAAAGTCAGAGATGAGTCAGAAAGAGGTAGAGGACAGACACTGTTAGGGGGAGTAAAGACATAAGGGAGAGGTCCGCAAGAAAAGGCAGAGTTTTAGGGAGAGACGCAGAGACAAGGAACAGAAAGATTGGTGAGAGTAGAGACTAGCTGGAGAAGGCAGAAGCAAAGCCATGCTGACTCCTGACTCCTCTCTGCAAATTCTCCTCGTCTTCCCCCAGGACTACCCTCTGAAGAGGTCCAAGCACCGGAAGTATTACTACGAAGCTGCTTTTCTGACCATCCTTAAGAAAAAAAGAAAGATGGCCAAGGCGAAGGGCCTAATAAGCCCCAGTGATTTTGCCCAACTGCAACAATACATGGAGTGTGAGTCTTCCTCCCAGACCATCAGCTCTGGAGTGCCTGCCCCAGGGATCCCTCTTCGTTTACTTGTACCCTCTGCCCTCAGCCTCCCCAGTGGCCTTGAGCCAGTCTGCTCCTCCAATATGCCTGACTGGAAAGGGGTGGAGGGAGGAAGACGGGGAGAGGCCTGAGGTCTCAGCCTTCTACTCACCTTCTCTATACTTGGACTGCTTGCCGCAGGTCTCAGAGAAGGGCAGTAAAGAGTGGTACCACTTTGGAGGATCCGAAATGTTTTCCCTTGATATTTCTCTGTTTCTTCTTGGAAATCTTTCTTCATCCTGTTTTCAAATCTCTTTTTCGGCTGGATGCCTGGGTGGGACTTAGAAAGGCAGGAAGAGTCAAGCTGGATTAATGCTCTTTTCTTATTTCCTTCACATCCTAGACTCTACCAAAAAGGTCAGCGATGTCCTTAAGCTCTTTGAGGATGGCGAGATGGCTCAATATGTCCAAGGAGATGTGAGTGGCAGCTGAAAAATCCTCTCCTTGACCAACTCCTTCTATCTTTGTTGTTTTAAAGAATTATTTATTTGGGGGCCTGCAGGTGGTGTGGTAGTTAAAGGTGTTGGAGTCCCACATGGCTGACCATGGTTTGAATTCCAGACCTAGCGGCGTGCTTTCTCACTTTCCCTTTCTCTTGCTCTCTTGTCAAATTACAAAGTGATAATAACAAATGGAATTAAATAAATGATTTCTAATTTTTTTTAAAAAAATTATTTATTCATTTATTTTAATTTGACCAGAGAGAGAAAGAGAGAGAGAAAGTGAGAAAGCAAGCCACCAGGTCCGGGACTTGAATCGTGGTTGGCCATGTGGGAGCATCTTGCACCCTAGCCACCATCCCACTTGCTGATTCTAAATAAATAACTCTTTAAAAAAATTAATTTTTTAATTTTTTTGGGTTTTTTTGTTTTTTACGATAGGGCATGTGCACTCACCAGAAAGACAAGAGAGACAGAAAGTGAGAAATCACCCCATATGGGGGAATGGCCATGCCACAATCCCTTCTTTTCCATTCTTCTCTCGGGATCTTGGGCATGCACGCACACGTGCCCAGCATGAGTTTAAGCCACCAGGTCTGGGACTCGAACTGTGGTCACCTACATGGGAGTCCAGCGACATAGCAATGACATCATCTGCTAGTCCCTAAAAAAGTTATTTATTTGGACCAGCAGATGATGTAATGATTATGTTGCTGGACTCTCACATAGTCAACTGTGGTTCTAGTCCCAGACCCGGCGCTTAAAACTTATGCCAGGCATGTGTGCGTGTGTACCCAAAAATCCCCAGAGGAGAATGGAGAAGGGATTGCAGTGTGGTCATCCCCCTGGGGGGTGATTTCTCACTTTCCGTCTCTCTGTCCTTCTGGCGAGTGCACACACCCTATAGCAAAAATCTCTCTTAAAAAATTAATTTTATTGGGACCAGCAGTTAGTGTAATGGCTATGTTGCTGGACTCCCATGTAGTCGACCAC